CAATGAGAATGAGGACACAACATATCCAAACCTATGGGATACTTTGAAAACAGTGCTAAAAGGAAAGTTCATAGCACTAAATGCCCACATGAAGAAACAGGAGAATAATCACACTAGAGAATGAACAGCACAACTGAAAGCTGAAGAAAACAAAGAAGCCAATACACCCTGGAGGAGCAGACACCAGGAATTAAAAAAAGATTGAGAGCTGAAGTCAATAAAATGGAAACCAGGAGAACAATTCAAAGAATCAATATAACAAAGAGTTGGTTCTTCGAGAAAATCAACAAGATAGACAAACCTTTATCCAAACTTACCAAACAAAAAAGAGTGAACATGCAAATTAATAAAATCAGGAATGAAAAGGGGGACATAACAACAGATACAGAGGAAATCCAGAGAATCATCAGGTCATACTTTGAAAACTTATATTCCTCAAAATTAAAAAATCTAAAGGAAATGGACAATTTTCTGGACAGATTTCACTTACCAAAATTAAATCAAGAACAGATAAGCAACTTAAATAGACCTATAACCCCTAATAAAAGTGAAGCAGTCTTCAGAAATCTCCCAACCAAAAAAGCCCAGAGCCAGATGGCTTCAGTGCAGAATTCTACCAGAAATTCAAAGGATAGCTAATACCAGTACTCCTCAAATTGTTCCACATAATAGAAGCAGAAGCAACATTGCCATGCTCTTTCTATGAGGCTACAATTATCTTGGTACCTAAGTCACACAAAGACACAACTAAGAAAGAGGACTACAGACCAATATCCCTCATAAACATTGAGGCAAAATTATTCAACAAAATACTGATAAATTGAATCCAAAACACATCTGACAAATCATCACCATGATCAAGTTGGCTTTATCCAAGGAATGCAAGGATGGTTCAACATACAAATATCCATCAATGTAATCCACCATATAAAGAGACTGAGGAAAAAAACATGTGATCATTTCACTAGATGCTGAAAAAGCCTTTGACAAAATCCAACACCCCTTCATGATAAAGTTCTTGGAGAAATCAGTGATAACAAGAACACACCTCAACATAATAAAAGCAATATACAGCAAGGCAACAGCAAACATCAAATTAAATGGAGAGAAACTCAATGCAATTCCTCTAAAATCAGGAACAAGACAAAGATGGCACATTCCTCTTCAATATTGTCCTTGAAGTTCTAGCTAGAGCAATAAGACAACAATAGGAGATCAAGGGAATACAAATCAGAAAGGAAGAAGTCAAACTCTCACTATTTGCAGATTTTATGGTAGTCTACATAAGTGACCCAAAAAACTCTACCAGGGAACTCCTACAGCTGATAAACACATTCAGCAAAGTGGCAGGATACAAAATTAACTCAAAAAAATCTGTAGCCCTACTGTATACAGATGACTCATTGGTGGAGAAAGAAATAAAAGAAGCATCACCCTTAACAATTGCCACAAACAACATAAAATAGCTTAGGGTAACACTAACCAAAAAAGTAAAAGACCTGTACCATAAGAATTTTTACTCTCTAAAGAAAGAAATTAAAGAAGATACTAGAAAATGGAAAGATCTCCCATGCTCTTGGATAGACAGGATCAACATAGTAAAAATGGCAATCTTGGCAAAAGCAATCTACAGATTCAAAGCAATCCCCATCAAAATCCCAACAAAATTCTTCAATGACCTTGAAAGAACAATTCTCAACTTTATATGGAGAAACAAAAGACCCAGGATAGCCAAAACAACCCTTACAATAGAGGAACTTCTGGAGGCATCACCATCCCTGACTACAAGCTATAGTCCTAAAACAGCTTGGTATTGACACAAAAATAGACAGGTAGACCAATGGAATAGAGTTGAAAACCCTGATATTAACCCACAGACCTACAACACCTGATTTTAACAAACAATCCAAATATGTTCACTGGAACAAAGAGAACATCTTCAACAAATGGTATTGGCATAACTGGATGCAAACATGTAGAAGACTACAGATAACCCCAAGCCTTTAGCCCTGCACAATATTCAAGTCAAAATGGATCAAAAACCTCAACATAAACCCAGCCACACTGAACCTCAGAAGAGAAAGTGGGAAATACCCTTGAATTAATTGGTACAGGAGACTGCTTCCTTAACATAACACCAGTAGCACAGACACTGAGATCAACAATTAATAAATGGGACCTCCTGAAACTGAGAAGCTTCTGTAAGTCAAAGGAGACAGTAGGCAAGACAAAATGGCAGCCCACAGAATGGGAAAAGATATTCATCAACCCCACATC